ATACCCCCATATGGGGCCAAGATTGCCTCATACGGAGCTAAAAAGTGCCCAATAAGTGCTAAAAAAACGTTCAATATGGCCAAACATCCTCCAACATATTAGACTTCCCGAATCCATTACACTTGGTGCAGGCGGTTTTCGTCGCGCAGCGACCGTGAATAGTGCGAGGAATGTGTCGGAGAGATGTCTCACGGCTGCATACTCAACATCTCAATATCGACTTTGCAACCTAGTTGCTGTGCAGGACCTGTGCAATTGGTGGCATAGATCCAGCAGAGCATGTCCAAATGCCTTGAGTAGACAAAGACACTTCGCTTCCTTGAGGACAATCGGCTTGGCGAACCACGTTTCGAACGTAGGCAGAGAAGTCTGACTTGTCTTCCTGATCTTAAAATGAATTCAAGTTCATGAAATCGGAATCGGGAAAATTCGAAACATTCAATGATAGGTCTTCACTGCTTCACATTTTGAAAGGCCTTCTGAAATCAGAAAAACTTGTGCCAACTTGGAAAAGTGTCTTCCCCAGCCAAAAGATCCTTCAAATTGGCGCCGGCCACGCGGCAGCCCAACATCTTCTCCAGTTTTTCCATATCTCCTGACATCTGCGGGGGCAATTTGCAACGGCCAGCAGCATCCAAAACGCACGGCAGGATGATATCGAAACTTCCACGTAAAATCGAAATCATGCCTTAGATTCGACACAAGGCTCAACAAGGCTCAACACAAGGCTCAAGAAAACACGGCATCAAATCTTTGAGAGCCTCCCAGAATGGAAACAAGTATGCTTCAAAGAGAAAAAACTCCAAACATCTGTGTCTGTGTCTATTCTCTAATGTGCTGCCAACATGCCCACGTTGGAAACGCTGACTTTTCGCAGAACGTCAGTCAAAGTCTTGTGATATTCATCAGCTCGAATGAAGACAAAGGCTGCACAGTAGGCAATCTTGGAACCAAAAGTCAGAACGAAGAAGCCTTTGCGTTCGGTATGCGCGTCGATCAATCCCAGCATGCATGACATGTAAACGACGCCGTACAGCAGGAGTTCGATGATCAAGCCGTTGGAGAGCCAGGGTCGAATGTTACGGCTTGGTAGGTCTTGGGGCGCTGAACGCTCGAACTTGTCAACCCAAGCCAACATGTCAGCAGATGCCCATCCGAAGAGGGCAAATGCGACAAAAACAAGCCTCGGTTGAACCGGTTGCCCAAGAAAGAAAAGTGTCTCTGAGAGATTCTCAGAGAACTAGAAATCGAGAAATTCAGTTTGGAGTTCAATGTGCAGAAGAGACACATCCATTTGAGCAATCCTGAAGTTGAAGCAGCTGCTGCCCAAGAGAAGATGACATAGATGTTGGTGACGATCAAGGGACGTGATACTTCATGCAAAGGCCGACCCAAACTGCAATACCCTGACAAAATGAAGAGGATTGGAACGTTGATCCCCCACTCAAAGTACCTGCAGAGAGTATCTGGCCACGTCAACATAAGGAGTCCAAAGATATTTACGGTCTGTGAATCAAGGCATCCTTGGAAGGTTCTACCGAAAAGGTCCAAAAACGTGGCAATGAAATGCTATGAACATGTTTATATATGTTTATCCTTGGCAGAAATGGGCTCTTACATTCTCTTTTTCATCTTCTTGCATCCTGATTGCTGCATGGTGTAGACAGGACGGCCGGGAGCAGTCAGTCCATCAGCGTTGGGCTGAACATGTGCGATGGTCCAGTCAGCACGAGAGAAGAGTCGTTCAGCACATGCCAGGACACCAAACATCAAGGCCAACAGAAAGCTGGGCCTCAAATCAAATTCCACAATATTCCACAGTTTGGCAATTTCATCTTGAATCCATCGCGGTTGAAGCAATACAAGAAACATGCTAAAACCATGCTAATGTTGAGAAAACTTGCAGCTGAGGGACAAGCACCTGCTCTTCAGGTGAGGGATCAAAGCCTGTGTTTGTTGAGAGCCCAAGTAAGTTGCGATGAGACCGCACACTTCATGTCCAGCCATGGCGAGCAAAGCAGCCGTGGATACGATGTGGTAGTATCCTCTGCCACACACAACTGTTTCGGCCACCACAAAGGACTTCAACATGTCCAAACATGTCCAAACACGTTCAAACTCTTGTGTCCAGATCTTGAAAAGTGAAAATATGGAACAAAGTCGTGTCACCTGGGTATGTCTTCAAGTGCTTAGCGCAAGCGGGTGAATCTTGGCATGCTTCAGGGCTCACCAGGGTCCAACAAACGGCCCACGTTGCCAGAGTAGCACCGATCCACACCGGAAGTTGTCCAATCAGAGTCGCCATGACGAGAACTTTCGCGGGTGCGAGAGTTGGAACGCGCTAAACGGCTGCAACAATGACGTGGCATGACAACACAGTCCAACCTCAAAGCCCTACTCGAGTACTGACTCGAATACTTACTCTTAACCCAAACAGCAATGACTTGCCCATTTCTTGGAACGGACCCCGCATCGGCTGCTCTGGGGCACCACATCTCTGAGCCCTGTCCGAGATTGCATGGACAAGGCCAGCTTCCAATGAGAACCTTTGGGAAGAGAGAGGTAGCGGCTGGTAGCGGAGAGGTCAAATGAGTCAAATGAGTCAAACGAAGACCTTCCTACACTTTGGTTAGCCGAAGACCTCCACAAAGCAGTTCGTTGGGCGTTTCAAACAGTGTCCCTCATTTGGGGAATCGAAAACAAAGATCGCATATGCTTTCGAGCGCACACTGATCCAGCATATTTGGGCTTGCCTGGAAATGTGGAACCCCGTTCCATCCCAGGGTTAGAAATATGTTTCCCGATGAAAAAATAAGCTTCGGTGGTATCCCCAACAGCCGCAACGTTTTATTTTTACAATTTTTCCTCTGCAACCTTCTCCGGAGCCTTCTCCGCAACCTTCTCCGGAACCTTCTCCGGAACCCGTTGAACTTGACCTGGCCCTGCACCAAAGATTCCAAAAACCTTCTCCGCGATCGTCTCTGCACCTTCTCGGGAACCCGTTGAACCTGACTTGCCTTTGCACCAAGGCTTGCTGGAACCTTCTCCGGAACCTTCTCCGGAACTGGCTCTGCACCAAAGCCTCCCTTCTCCGGATGTTGAACCTGACTTGGCTTTGCACCAAAGCCTCCCAGACCTTCTCCGGAAGCTTCTCCGGAACCTTCTCCGGAACCTTCTCCGGAACCTTCTCCGGAACCCGTTGAACTTGACCTGGCCCTGCACCAAAGATTCCAAAAACCTTCTCCGCGATCGTCTCTGCACCTTCTCGGGAACCCGTTGAACCTGACTTGCCTTTGCACCAAGGCTTGCTGGAACCTTCGCCGGAACCTTCTCCGGAACTGGCTCTGCACCAAAGCCTCCCTTCTCCGGATGTTGAACCTGACTTGCCTTTGCACCAAAGCCTCCCAGACCTTATCCGGAAGCTTCTCCGGAACCTTCTCCGGAACCCGTTGAACTTGACCTGGCCCTGCACCAAAGCCTCCCAGACCTTCTCCGGAAGCTTCTCCGGAACCTTCTCCGGAACCCGTTGAACTTGACCTGGCCCTGCACCAAAGATTCCAAAAACATTCTCCGCGATCGTCTCTGCACCTTCTCGGGAACCCGTTGAACCTGACTTGCCTTTGCACCAAGGCTTGCTGGAACCTTCTCCGGAACCTTCTCCGGAACTGGCTCTGCACCAAAGCCTCCCTTCTCCGGATGTTGAACCTGACTTGGCTTTGCACCAAAGCCTCCCAGACCTTCTCCGGAAGCTTCTCCGGAAGCTTCTCCGGAACCTTCTCCGGAACCTTCTCCAGAACCCTGCTGAACGTGACCTTGCTCTGCACCAAAGCCTCCCAGACCCGGAAGCTTCTTGGGAACCTCGTTGAACCTGACCCGGCGCCTGCACCAGTGCACACCGGAGCTATTCTGGGCTGAAGACCCCATTAGCATACGCTGTTGGGGAACAACAAAATGGGCTCTCCCGTGCTGGGAGAACAATCAGTAGTCACTTATCCCCACTTAATGGGTTGCACCCCCCGTTTATCTCACCATTAAAAAGAGGATGCCGAATACCCAATGGCTATGTATCCAATATCCCCACATATCCCGATGTTTTTTCAATTTGGATCCCGAGGGCCGAGGGGCTGCGTTCACAGGCGCTGGAGCTGCTGGAAGATAAGACGACGTCGGGCTGAACGCCGGCCGCTACCAGCAAGGCCAAGTTCCATAGACCGCCTGGGACGACTGCGATCAACTTCGATCAACTTCGACTACGGGCAACTTCTCAGAGGGATGCGGGGGATGCTCTGAAGATCTGTGAAGATCCGTGAAGATCTGTGAAGATCTGTGAAGATCTGTGAAGATCTGTGAAGATCTGTGAAGATCTGTGAAGATCTGTGAAGATCTGTGAAGATCTGTGAAGATCTGTGAAGATCTGTGAAGACCGAAATTAAGTCCAATCAGGGGTGGATGTCCAGTTATGGATATGGCATGCTGTCTTGATGATGTCTTGCTGAGTAGTGTTGAGTTTTTGCGATTTGCTTCCCAGTCTCAAAAGTCTGTTCTGAATATTTCTGAATCAAACAGTGTCATACAGTATTTGGACGTCTTGGATTCAACAATTGCTGACAAATCCTCTTGTTGACCCATATAGCCCAGAACATCCCAGAGTTGTCAAGCAACTCTCCCCCAAAAGGGTAACCAGCTGCGTGGTTTGTACGAGATCGTGTTTTCGATCGGGACGAGAAGGGCCAAATGCAAGATCCAATGCCACCGGCCACTGATGTTTGTGGCAAGAGCCAATGGCACAATTGCAGCCTGACATCTGAGACATCTGAGACATCTGAGACATCTGAGACTGAATAAAATAAAGCACCGGGAAGTCTCAAATGTAAGGTCAGCAGCATTTCTGGCTTTATGCGACATTGTGAGACTGCACTTGCGTGAGATACCATGACCGGATATTCTTCCAAAGGGTGCATGTCAGAATGTCATAGAAGTCATAGAAGTCATAGAAGTCATAGAAGTCATAGAAGTCATAGAAGTCATAGAAGTCAAAGAAGTCATAGAAGCATCCCACAAATCCCAAGAGCTATCGAAATCCATCGAAATCCATCCTGGCAATGCCAAGGCACAAACATTGTCCAACTCGCAGTGCCATCTCAACAAGTCCTGTGGACCCCGGGCGCAGCACAGCTGGGCGCAGCACGGCTGGGTTAGGGTAGTGGTGTCAGTTCCTAAAGCTGTTTGCGTGGAGAATCTTGGAGATTTGCATAGGACAAATGCAAATCTTGGCACCAATCTTGACACCAATGTTGGCCCAACGAGTTATGCAACAAGTTCTTCCGAACTTCCACTCAAGTCCTGAAAAAGCTGTTGCTCTCGCTGCCAATAGCTGCACCTCTCCAAGGTGGACATGACTTTGGCGTACACGTCAGCACGGTCAGAGGTGCCTGCACCCGTCGACATGGCATACGTGGCATACATGGCATACGTGGCATACATGGCATACATGGCATAAACGGCATCTCGGCTGTTTTGGATGTGTCGGTTGAGAATTACACTTTGCCGTATGCAACCATTTGCAAACATGCTTATCATGCTTCATGCGACGGCTGACGGCCCTCCCCCTAATCACCTTGTACCAGGCCCTCCACAAGTAGCAGCGAATGCGACCAGAGCAACTTGGCTCCGAAGGCAGTGGCCAAGGATGAAGAGCAGGAACCCAAAGAACCGAAAGCGCCTGGAGAGTTGGACAAGTTGGACAACTTTGGAATAATCGAATCGTGGTTGTTGGCCAAAGTGGCCAAAGTGGCCAAAGTGGCACCGAATTGCACTGACACAGTGACAGAATCTGACGAGGCTTAGCCAGCCAAGCTTAGCCAAGCTGCCAATCTGCATGGCCACTTCCCACTGTTGGGCTTCAGCTGCAGTTTGTGCAGCGAGTGAAGCAGTGCGGATTTTACCGCCTGAGATGTTTTGAACTTTCACAATCTGACATGTTTTATCATGTTTTTATTTGAGGTATGCTTGACTTGATGCTAAGTTGGGGCAACGAGGGGCAACAATGACGGAGAATGCTTGTGACTTGTACATGTGCTGCTTCTCAAGATCCCTATGATCCATTGTAATCATTACATCGTTTTGTTTTTAATGTTTTTTCGAGTACACGACATGCAAGTGCCAGGACACTCAGCTGCAAATGTATAACGTGATCCAAGAAGGCCACGGCTTGTTGCCAGTCCCCAGAAGAAGCCTCGAAGCAAGCTGTCAGTGTGCAGCTCAAAATTGGTCTCCCTATGGATCATGTTATTTCTCTCATTTTGAGTTCCGTATGATATACCGTGATACACCAGCCTATATATATATATATCGTCAACAATGAGCTCACCCAAGTCATTGCACCATGTTGATCCATGTTTGATTCATGATCGCGCCTGTAAGGCAGCATCCATCAAGGCTTCATCAGGTGCTTCCCACTGCGAAAAGAGCCACAAAGCCACTGGCCACCGACCGCCGGAGGTGCTCACAGACATTGCAGAGCAGTACCTTCCGGACGGGAGCGATGGAGAGATCAAATATTCAATATATTCAAATATATTCAAATATATTCAATATATTCAGATGATATTATATATATATATATTCATCATCTATCACCATTCTGTTGAGAAAGAATGGAAGAATGGACGACTTCATCAGGTGATTTGATCTATTTTGATCTCCGGAAAGTGCTGGCAGATTGCCAGTGGACTAAAGGCATAGGCACGACTGTTTACTGAGAGATCAATGACATAATGACCATGACCATCATCTATTGGAACTGTGGCTTGACCTGATTTCTAGTGGCATAAACTTTTTTATCTAAGCCCAGTTTGAACATATATCCAAAAAGATCATCAATTTAAACAGGCCAAAATAAGCAAAGAACCACTTAGACCTGAAAAACACGCAAGGCTGCCACTTCTCCAGATCCCCATCCATCCCATCCTTCCATATCCTTCCCATCGCACCCCACAGCATCACATCGCAGCTGCCGATCGTTGGCCAAGGCCAAGACCTTCAGTGCCACACACCAATCACTTCGAGACGCTATGGCCTCAGCCACATTTCACCCTGGAAACCATGGGAAACCATTGGATTCACCATGATTCATCATGATTCTCATTGATCATTGGATAGGTTGTATCCATTTTTGAACAAACCACTGACTATCACACTGATTCAAGGGTGTCACAACTTTGAATGCTGAGACTTCCAAGTGTCAGACTTTCCAAACGTTGGTTTGGTCTGGGTAAGTTGGGCTGAGCCGTGCCATGATAATTCAATTCCAGCCATGCTGCGTTGTATACGACGATGTTTGCCGGCGCTTTTGCATCAAGGACTCCTAAATCCAACGACCTTTGGCCGCAGGTGTTGGTGGCAGCAGGGAACACGCTGATAAAAACGAACACCGCAACTTTTTCTACCCAACATTGGCCAACACTTTCATCGATCTTTTCACAAATCGAATTATCAGGCTGAACATGTTTGCAGCAAACTCATCAGACTTCATGAGATTTCATCTTTTTTTAATTTCTAGGCCGGCACTTCAGCTGCCATTCGGCTTCAGCGGCTTCGGCGTCATTGCCCCGCCTTCTCCACTCGCCACAGGCGACGCTGCTTAGAGTTCTGGGATTTTGGACATCCAAACCATGCTGACCATCGGCCTACCGTGTTTCAAAAAGACATACAACCATGCTTCTCCAGTGTGACAACCATAACATACCATAACACTTCAGTCGGTCTTTCATTTATTCCATTTTTTTCCTGTCTAACCGTTCCATTGTGAAAATTGGCATGCCTTCATCCTGATACCTTGATGACAAAACAACCCTCAGCCCACCTGCAACTTGGCAAGGAGAACTTTCCAGTTTCCCAAGGCACTAAGCAAAACCACCGAATACGCTGCATCTGGTTCCTGAACACGAGAAGACCGGTGCAACCATGGGACAACCATGGGACAACCATGGGACAACCATGGGACAACCATGGGACAAACGGAAACTTCTTTTGACGAAAACTTTGCAAGGGCATTGCGCAAGAGCAAAAATCAGATGATGTACGAGAAGCTCGATTCTCAGGACCGCTCCTTTCTCCATGTCAGCACTGACTCTTGCCCCGCTGTGCTTTTTTCAATCTTTTCCAATCTTTTCCAAGGCTTTGCTGCTTTGCCAACGTCTTTCAACGTCTTTCAACGTCTCTCAACGTCTTTCAACGTCTCCAAGTCCAAGTCTCTACGCCGGGTGCCATGGCCATCGACATGGCCAGCGCCTTCTCCCACTGTCCGGCAGACTTTGTCGCTGCCGTCCAAGCCTTGAGGTCTGCCGTGCGGCGCATTGCCTCAACTCCGGGTGGGGCTGCCCTGGGGTCACCACAGACACCACAGGTCACCCAGGTCATCAGGTCAGGTGTTGGGATTGGTGTCAATATGTGTCAATATCTCAAACTTGGGTCACCCACAAAAATTGCCACACGTCATTTCAGTAAACCAGGCCCAAAAACTTATACACCACGTCAGCGTTTGAGTCAGAGGCTGCCACGTTTCCACAGCCCCATTCATTTGGTTCATAGGGAATACCGAGATACCCATTTATTGACCATCAGTGGGGAACATGAGCAAAATTAAGCTTAAATATTATCAATCTGTTTGCGCATTGTAAATGGTTTTAAACCATTGTAAAACATGAGAATTTGCATTTGAGGAAGCCATCGGAAGCCATAGGAAGCCATTCAGCAGCTGACCATCTCCTGCCACTGCTCGAGGCCGATCGACCAATGCGAGGATTTCTCCAATGCCTGAATCAAATAGCCAATAATTCAATAATTCAATAATTCAAGAAATGCAAATGCCAAGAAAGCCACCTGGGGACGCCAATTTCGATCACGGACACTGACACTGACATGACACATCAATACAAAATTATCAAAATTGTACATGTTGTAAGTTGTAAGCTTTTCGTATGCGTGAAATCCAAGGAACCAGTATCGTTGCAGTGTAGGCTGCAATATCCCCGGCGATCTGGAGCAAAACCATCGATCTTGTCCATGCCGATGCCTGGAAAATCTGGAAACAGGTGCAATATCCGAGAAAGTTCGAGACTGAGTTTCGTTGGCTTTCAGAAGTTGGAAACAGTTGGAGCCAGTTGGATCATTTTGAACGTCAAAGCGAGTCTCAACCAGTGCCTTGGCTGCGGTGGAGAGCACAGGACCGTACCTTGGGGCCCAAAGATCATCGTCTCGCGCACTGCACAACACATTTTTTGTACATGTTTGCAACACTGAGACATTGAATGACTCATCTCTTCCTATCATTTGTAAAGAGACAATAATTGTGTCATAATTTTAATTGTCTTGTCGTATCACCGGATGAATTTTCTCATATTTTGCATATTTTGTCTCCGGTGAGGCACTGGAATCGGCCGCATTCCAAAGCCTCGTTTTGCAGCGCTGCAAGGAGTTCAAAGGCCAAGGGCCAACGACCTCGGTGGACACGGCATCGACTCAGCGAATTCCAACGTGACAAAACCGACAAAACCTGTTCGCGAGGCTAGGAGACTGCTCTAACGTGAAACATCTTGAAACATCATGAAACCAGGCTGGTAGGCAACTTTCACACAAAATCCGCCCGCACCGAAGGTGCTGGGGCGTGATCTTCCGGATGGCACTCGTAAAAGGTTACAGGTTTACCTGGGGGGGGGGGGCATTTTTCGGCCAAAACCTCCTGTTTTTGATAGGTCGTGACGCTCGCCTTCAAAAAACACTGTAAAAAACAGTACGGAAGACACCTGTTCGTGAACGCGCCCGTCCAAAATCGGCAAGCGAAAAGTGAAAAAAACCCGTGTTTTTCAACTTTTTGACCTCAATTTTTTGGTTTGCAACATCTTTTTTTGCGGTTCCGCAGATGGCCGGGCCCGGAGGCGGATTTTTGAGTTTTTGGACCCGTTTTCGGACTGATTTTCGTCGTTTTGTGATAGCAGAAACACTGGTTTTTACAGTGTTTTTCTGTTTTCTGCATGCTTGACGGCTAGCTTCAAAACTTCCAAAAACCTCGTAAATTACGCTGTTTTATGTTACGGTGTGAATGAAAACATCGTAAATACCAGTGTTTTTTGACGTTGGTTAAAAAAACACTGTAAATTACAGTGTTTTTGGCCACCTGACCCTCAAAAACCATGGTATTTGCAGTGGTTTCTGCTTCTCACCGCGCAAAAACACTGTAAATAACAGCAATTTCGCCGTTTTTTCATGTTTTTCGTTATTTTTTGAACTGCGTTGGTCCGCTATACATGGCTATCAAATTCTTCGCGTTTTTTTTTCCGACAATCAGTACTTTCGGATGTTTTTGGTCTCAATGGCCGACATCATTGGCAGTTACGAGCGGCTGCCCAACGATGCGGTGCGGGCGGTTGCCGTCGCGAAGCGACGTGAATATCCTAAACCTCCTACCTTGCAGAAGTAGTGGCAGAGCTTTGACACTTCATCCTTCTTCATACAAGAACACACGACACATTTACAGGGCATATGCGATACCTGGCAGTCCCGTTGATCAGTTTGTGCCATACACTCCACACCACTTTGTTCAAGTGAAAGAGCAGGACGTTGGCATGTTGGCATCATGACTTGTCATCACTCAGTTTGAACATGTTTGAACATGCTTGAACCATTAAAGTGATAGGTCCGGTGATAGGTCCGGTGATAGAATGTGATAGACAGGGACCAAGGATGACTTAGGCACCTCCGTGGCCCACGATCTTGAGCCGCTTCGCCGACTCGAAGCTGCCCTGCCAGGTGTGGTGTCGAGGTGTCGAAGTGGTGTCCGGTGTGTCCAACGAGCCCAGCCTTCCGACGGATCTCTGGCAAATGTACGTGGACATTTGGGAAATTTGTCGTGTCCTCACAGAATGGATTGGCACAGAGCAGAAAAACATAGAAAAACACTCTTCAAAGACTTCAAAGTTCAAATACACGATGCAAAGCATGCAAAGGATGCAAAGGTAAGTTTCCCCGCATGTCTCCACGGTCTGCAACGGGTGTTACAACCCATGAACCCCTCCCTTTTGGCCCTTGTCTCCAGCATGCCATGGGCACCAGGGCCATCTCGAGCAAATGCCGAGGAATATGGGGGTGCAGAAACTTGTACACTTGTGAAACGCCGCAAGATTGCTTGCCATCTATGAAATTCCTCACACGAGAATTTTTCAAGGGCCAACTTGATTACCCTAGGCCCTTCAAACCCACAGGTTCAAAGGAATTTGCTGGCAAAAAGCTTTGCATAGGGGAGGTGGTGCCTGCACTTATTTTTTCAAGTTGAAGGTCATGGTGTTCGAATTGTTCAAGCTGGCTTCAAAAGATTCTCAAGATTCTCAATGCCATTCTTGGATTAGGATGGATTAGGATGGGTTAGGATGGTTACATAATGTTACATCGTTTTGGCACAGCTTCGTAAGATAAAGTGTCGGCCAAAATAGCTGGGGCATCCCATGGAGATTTCAAGCCGTAATTTTGGACGGGTAAGTCGCCGTCGCCATGTGAATTGCTGCAACTGAACCCTGACCACACCATCCACTGTGAAGGTCTTGTGAAGATCTTGTGAAGGTCTTGTGGTGTTTTTAGACTCAAAACTTTGATCAAACAAATCTGTCAACATAACATGGAATATGGATGAATATGGATCGTCACGAGTGAAAGAGTAGTGAAAGGCTCAAAGTCCCCGCATCTTTTCCCCCTGGCAAGGTCTCGATTCGTCAAAGTTTCATCAGCCTCCCAGCAGGTTGATGCACGGCGTGAAGTGACTTGTTGGGCCTTTGATATCGAAATGCGATCAATGGAATGTCAATGGCATGACCTGCTTTGTCTGATTTCCCTTGGTTTCAAGTCAGCCTTGGATGTTGCCCCAAGGAGCCTAAATCGTTTGGAGTTTTCATCGTGAACGAGGCGTAACAAGGCTGTTGGACAAATCTGTATCCGCCCACACCTTCAGTGACTGTTACGTGCTTGAATGCTCTCGAATGCTCTCGAATGCTCTTTGGTCAGGATCTTTTGAACACAAATTTCGCACAGAGATCAAACACTTATGTCGAAAGTTGTGCTACCCAACGCTTAAGCTGGGTGATCAGTGATCAGCTATCTGACAGTCCTGCTTCTCTTCAGTCGTGTGACATGTGCCTCTACAAAGACTGAAGAGAATTGAGCACCGAAGGCGCCTGTAAGAGGCGTCGTCTGTACTGCTCTTGGCAAACTGTCGAACTGTACATAGCAGGAAGTGCAGATTCTGCAAGCATCAGACATCTGCACCAAAATTTACTGGCTAAGCAAACCAGGTATTTGGTTATTTCGTTTGCCACCTTGCAATCTCTGTCAGCCTCTTTAGGCATCACTTGAATTATCAGCATGAAGAACCTCAATTAAGACATCAAAATGCTTAGATTCACAGCTGACAGCTGGAAGAAGACCCCAGTCTTCTTTGTCTTCTTGAAGTGGACAGCAGGAGTGATCTGCGAACCTGGTTATGATGAAATGAGAAGTCGTGAAATTTCATGCACAATTCGGAAGACTCCCAAGAAACGAAGAAGCAGCGACAAACCCTCAAAAAATTGAAAATTGATTCATTTCACGTGTTTGGAAATTCTACGCGCCCCGTTGTCAGTATTTACCCATTCATTTTTGAGGTACCTCCATTCTGATCCAAACACATTTGTCACATAATGACACGAATGAATCATGTGACTATGATCATATTATGGTAATATGGTTTCTCCTATCTTCTCCAATCGCCAAGAAACTGATGTGGTCGCAACACTTTGGATTTCTCTGCATCAGTTCCTGCGCCAACAGTGACTCGGAAGGCGACAGCTGCCGCGGACTCAGGCACCGAGGAGCATCCGCATTTGATGAAGAGCCGACCGCGCCCTTTGGCCTCAAAGGGGGAGGTGTTGAACAGCACGAGAATACATGATTTGTATATATTTACATTGATTTACCTTGGTATATATATATATACATATGTTGAAAACATTGATTTATACTGATTTACATTGGTTCAAATTGATATATAATGATTTCTTTTGATTTATTTTGATTTACATTGATTTACGTTGGTATATATATATATTGATTTACATTGATTTAAATTGATTTACATTGATTTACATTGATTTACATTGATTTACATTGATTTACATTGATATATACATGTACTTATTTTGATATATATATATATTGGTTTCCATTGGTTTACATCGAATTACATTGGTTGACACTGATGTATATTGATTTTGCGAAGGAAGTTTAGAAGTCAAATTTCCGACAATGTGGACAGGTGAAAAAGCAGAGGTGGGAAGAATCAGAGAAGAGAAGAGAAGAGAAGAGAAGAGACGAGACGAGACGAGACGAGACGAGACGAGAAGAGAAGAGAAGAGACGAGAAGAAGAAAGAAGATCAGAGAAGAGAAAGAGTCTGAAGAAAGAAGATGCAGGTGCGCGAAAAGGTAGAAAAGTCGCGAACCCTTTGTGTTTTTCCCAAATTTGGTGGTTCCAGAGGGTCGAAAAGTAGACTCGCTCAAGCGGCGGGTGCAGAGCCATCTGGCCAGATGAGAGATGAAAAATTGCAAGCCGTTGTGGCGCACAGCACATTTTGAAGTCAAAATGCGCAGGCCACCTCATGTTCGTACCACTTTTACTTTTGGAAGTTGAGAGGTTTAAAAAGTGCACGCCGTTGTGGCGCGAAGAACGTTTCAAAGTCAAAATGCGAAAGCCACACCATGCTCGGAGCACTTTTGGGAGTTGAGATGTTGAAAAAGCGCAGGCCGTTGTAGCGGTAGCGCGGATCACATTTCGAAGTCAAATGGTAAAAGCACCACCTTCTCGGACCATTTTTCGGACGTTGAAGCGTCGTTTTGCGGTTCAGATGTCGTTTTGCGTGGCAGGCGCAACAGATTCTGCACCTTGCCAAAAGTGAGCAAAGCGCAGGGGTTTTGTGGCATTTCCAAAAACGATGGCATGCGTGGGACGTTTGAAGAGGATCTGGAAAGATGCTTTTCGCATGGCAGGCGCGGTACAAGAGACATGTTCTGAGAGGGGTTGCACTTTGGAGCATCGGATCTTCAGGTTTAAGATGATTTTGCGTGACTGATGCAGCACTTCGTATGACCTGACCTCACTTTTTCCACTTTAGAGACATGGACTGGAAAAATCGCAAAACGCATTGGTACGAGGCCGTCAGCTCTGCACTCAACTTTCCATTTTTGAAGGAAGTCTCACACAATTGCTTCGTTTTTGATGTTGTCAACTTCGCAAATTGGGGACGTCTCGCGGACTTGCTTCGTTTTGGACGTTGTCAACTTTGAAAATTGGGGAAGTCTTGCACACTGCTTCATGCTTGATGTGGGCAGACAGAGACAGAGATAGAGAAAGAGATAGAGATATAGGTAGATAGAGATAGACAGCGATAGATAGAGATAGAGATAGAGATAGAGATAGAGATAGAGATAGAGATAGAGATAGAGATAGATAGACATAGATAGACATAGATAGACATAGATAGGTTCTGGCAAGGTCAACTTGCGCTCTTGCGATTCTAAGCTGACTGTCTTTTTCTGGCCATTGGATTTTGTAGCCGCGTCACTGTAGCCTGCAAGCGTGCTTGCTGAATGTGCTTTTTCTGACCTTTCTCTTGCAGGTGGGATGGACGGTGTGACTATACGCTGCAGATAAATAAACTGGACAATGACTCAGCAAATAAGCAAATGGATTGGAAATAGATAAAAAGAAAAAAGGATAGACAGATAGACAATAGATAGAAAGATGGAAAAACAGATAGGTAGACAGACAAATGAATAGAAAAACACCTCAAAAAAAACAAACAGGTAGATGGAAAGACACATAGATAGATAGATAGATAGATAGACAGATAGATAGATAGATACATAGATAGGATAGATTAGATTAGATTAGATTAGATTCGATTAGATTAGATTAGAAT